TGGGGGGGGGGGCAGGCGGCGGCGGCGGCATTTGCCTTTGCTGGCTTGGGAGGGAGCATCGCAGGCTCTGTTTGCCCTTCGTCCTGGTGCCCTTTGCCGCCGCGATTGCTGTTAACGGGGGATTATCCATTTCTGACTAAAAAGCGTTCTGCTCCGGTTCGACTGTTTTTTTCCGCCCAGTAGTAATACTGCGGGAGGCGGCCTGCCGCCTCAAGCAGAACAACAAATGGACTCCCTATCTTCATTGATTGATTGATTGATTGTATTTATACCCTGCCTGTCTAGTCGAAAGACCATTCTAGGCGGCTACCAGTGAAAGTAAAGCTCTGAGAACACCAGCACGCAGGAATTCTTTGTACCACCTTAAACTGGTAAATCCATACATGGTGAATGCCTGCAACAGAAGATTGCTTTTACACAGTTCAGAAGCCGGTGAAAAATTCAGCCATCCAAGAACCACTGAGTGTCAGATAGCTAGAATAAATGCTGCACCCATTAAAGAGGTTACCAACATATTTCTAGATCCACTGTACAGTATTGGTAGTCTAAGACCATGTAAACTGAAAGACCAACATTACCCACCTCAGTGAGCCACCACTGAAGTTTACTTCCAAGTCCTGTGGAAGCAATTAGGTTGGCAGGTACAAAGCCTTTTTAGTGGTGGCCCTCATATTTGTGGACTATGTTCTAACTGCATTTGGCAGGCTCCATCACTAAAGGATTCCAAACAGGCATTGGAAATAGATTTGTCTACCCAGTTTGTTCATACCCAGGAAAACTTTAACTGCAGCTATGTGGTGGTCTATAGTTGGGGGACAGAGTGTGAGTGCTATTTAGTGAATCTCCTCTCTGCCTCTGTTTAAAGTTACCGTGATTGAGAGTTTTTCATCTTAATTACAATATTTTTTTATATTAGCATACGTGTTTATATTATATTATTATACATTAGTTATTTTAGGTTATCCTATTAGAAAACTTTTCTTAAAGTGTAGAATACAAATCTACCAAAGAAATAAATGATGAAATCAGCGGCACTTCCTTCAAGTAAATATGTACAGAAGCTTCCCACTCAAAACACACTTATTGAATAAGGATGTGCAGGCTGTGATTCTATGTATGTCTCCTACAAAGTACAGTGGTGCCTCGCTTAACGATTGCTTCATACAATGAACAATTCACTTAACGATGGCTTTTTCGGAGCGATCTTGTGCTTCACTTAACAATTTTCCCTATGGGCGATTTTCGCTTAACGATTTCGGGATCATGCTTCACTTAACGATGACAGTTTTAGGTCCCCTTGTTTCGCTTAACGTTTTTTTACAGCCCCGTTTTTGCTATTTTTAAAATATTCTAAAATGCTTAAAAATGTTTAAAATGCTTGGAATAATCCTATGTATGTTTACTACAAAGTAATTCCTACTGAACTGAATACAGTGTATCTACACAGTCTACCTCACTAAATTCAGAATTAGCTTAATTCCAAATAAGGATATAACGTATATTTGAACGCAGCATTTATCATTAAACAACTGAGGACTGTTGCATGCTAGTAGAACTACTGTACTGACAATTCTAAGTGCTGGATCATGGAACTGATGGAACAAGGGGAAAAAACCTCATTATGGATATACACAACCTGCAAATTCCCATTTGTTGCTATGCCATTTAATTTGTAGGATCCAGACCAAGAACTGAGGATAACAAAAAGAGAAAACAGAGATCTCCAATCATTCCAAGTTGGCGTAGGCTAAGCATTCAAGATCCATTTTAAAGACAATATGAATAGTCTGTCCTTACACCTTTACATGTCACAGTTCTGAAAGCTTTCTGAAGGCTTTGTCCATATGCATAGCGCTTTTCATGAAGAAGAATAAGTCACATATGGGTTGTGATGATTTCTCTGCCTAGAAATCAAGTTTTTACAAAACAGCTTTTCATAACCATTCACAGGTTTCTCAGTCTATTTAGAAAACTGTTAACTATAAACCCTAAAATCTGATACAGCGAACAAATTAAATTCAGAATTAGCTTAATTCCAAATAAGGATATAACGTATATTTGAACGCAGCATTTATCATTAAACAACTGAGGACTGTTGCATGCTAGTAGAACTACTGTACTGACAATTCTAAGTGCTGGATCATGGAACTGATGGAACAAGGGGAAAAAACCTCATTATGGATATACACAACCTGCAAATTCCCATTTGTTGCTATGCCATTTAATTTGTAGGATCCAGACCAAGAACTGAGGATAACAAAAAGAGAAAACAGAGATCTCCAATCATTCCAAGTTGACGTAGGTAGGCTAAGCATAGGAGGGACGTGGTGCCGCTGCGGGCTAAACCGCAGAAGCCTGTGCTGCAAGGTCAGAAGACCAGCAGTCGTAACTTCGAATCCACGTGAGAGAGTGAGTGCCCGTCGCTTGTCCCAGCTCCCGCCAACCTAGCGGTTCGAAAGCATGCAAATGCAAGTAGATAAATAGGGACCACCTCGGTGGGAAGGTAACAGCGTTCCGTGTCTAAGTCGCACTGGCCATGTGACCACAGAAGATTATCTTCGGACGAAACGCTGGCTCTATGGCTTGGAAAAGGGGATGAGCACTGCTCCCTACAGTCAAACACGACTGGACAAAAATTGTCAAGGGGAACCTTTACCTTTACCCTTAAACATTCAAGATCCATTTTAAAGACAATATGAATAGTCTATCCTTACACATTTACATGTCACAGTTCTGAAAGCTTTCTGAAGGCTTTGTCCATATGCATAGCGCTTTTCATGAAGAAGAATAAGTCACATATGGGTTGTGATGATTTCTCTGCCTAGAAATCAAGTTTTTACAAAACAGCTTTTCATAACCATTCACAGGTTTCTCTGTCTATTTAGAAAACTGTTAACTATAAACCCTGAAATCTGATACAGCGAACAAATTGTAGCAGCAGGGCTATACGGTTTGCAGAATTTGTATCAGCTTGAAAGCCTCAAATTAAGATATCATCTACATTTCCAGCTAATATTAATATCTATTCACCAGTGTCAAATTAATCAATCTGGGAGAAAGGATATGGCAGTGGTAGCTATTATGATTATATTTCATGGAAAATATCTTTAGATCCCTTTCAATCTGCCTTCAGGACAAAGAGGGTTGTAATTGCCCTTGTCATCAGGAGAGACAGGAAACCTCTGCGCCTTATATGAAACTGCTGCGGATTGTTGACCCCACTATCTTTGCAAGAGAACATACCACTCTACTTCAGAAGGTGATAACAGTGGACCACTGTTCTTCTTGTGCGCAGGACCGTGCTACAGGACTCCATTATACCCTCCCCACTTTCTACCTTAATGAGACTTCTCAGAATGAAACACAAACACAGTTATAAGAAATTGTTAAGTACATTTCCAAAATTCCCTGAAAGTGTTCTTAAGGTATTAATTTACACACCAATAAGAATAATTGTTCAGCATCTAGACATAAAGATAAACAGAGAGCAATTGATATTCACCAATTATTAGCAAAGACTTGAGTCATAATTTACACCCTCACACAGCAGTCTTAATCCAGCTGAACTAGTCTTCTCAGTGCTTTCTGCATCATTGTATGTAACAACAAAGCAAAAATGACTGCACAACAATCCAGAATTAACTGCTTCACTTCCTTTGGTGAATAATATAATCTTTACAGCACTATTGTAAATGCTGTTTTAAACATATACATGCGAAGAGCTGATATATGTCCAATAACTCAGCTCATGTTAGTAAGTTATATCGGGGGGGGGGGGGATGCCAAAATATAGAGAGTGGATGTATCAGTTTCAGCTGAAAATTTGGATTTTTACTTAGGTTTTCATCGAGCACTTTAAACTATGAATGATCACTAATTATCTACATAATAAATATAATGTGTAAACTAATACACACAAACTTAATATACAACACATATACGGTAAGTATTATTTGTGTTTACAAACTTGCATCTTTCACAGGAAGAGGCCATTAACTGTACTTCAGATTGCTATCATATAGCAGTTTCCTAAATACGTAATGCTAATTAATATAAAATTCAGCAACACATGCATGTGCAATTATCATATAATTATCTATACAACTGGCACTCTCAGCCTGAACGTATGTATATTTCTTGAGAATTGAATTCCTTGAGTTCAAAGGGACTGGCCTATCACAAATGTTTTTGGTTGAAATACTTTGCAGGTCTGTGATTATCTTTAGGGTACGGTCATCCTGGGTGGCTGGATAGGTCAATGAGTTACATATCTGGCTGCAGAGCAAGAGGCTGGGAGTTCAGTTCCCGAACTGTGCATCCTACAACAGCCAGCTTGTATGGCCCTGGGCAAGCTGCACAGTCCCAGTGTGCCCCCAGAAGAAGAAAATGGTATTCCACTACTGAATATTCTTGACCTAGAAAACCCTGAAAAGGTTTATAAGTCAGGACTGCCTTGATGGCACTTGGGTTCCCCTTGACATTTAATCCAGTCATGTCTGACTCTTGGACGCAGTGCTCATCCCCGTCTCCAAGTCAGTTTCCATGGTCAGGTGGCCAGCGCAACTAGACACGGACCGCTGTTACCTTCCCACCATGGTGGTACCTATTTATCTACTTGCATTCGCATGCTTTCAAACTGCTAGGTTGGCAGGAGCTGGGACAAGCGACAGGTGCTCACTCCATTGCGTGGATTCAATCTTACGACTGCTTGGTCTTCTGACCTTGCAGCACAGAGACTTCTGCGGTTTAACCTGCAGCGCCACCACAGTGGCACACAATTATTTTATTACTATAAATAAATCATTGCACGATTATTATTATTGTCATCCTCTCTGTAGGGAGAGGTTTTTAAAATTTCCTTTATGATCCGTAAGACTTGTTCAATATCTGTAAAAATCCTTGGTGAGAAAGAAGATGCCGCAATTAGCATATCCAGTGAATGTGTGAGGTTCAGTTGCAAAGCATTCTTGCACAGACCTGGCAAACTGTTAACAAATTTTATCTGGATTAAATGATATGGTCTGTTAGTATATTACAAAAAGAAACACAGTATAAAACCAACTGTTAAAAAAAATAAATACAGTCACAAGTAACAGCATTTACTGACACAACGTTTTACTAACATCAAATACCATTCTACAGTTTCATAAAAGGATAGACACTGCTGCAGATTCTTCAGCTGAGAAGCACTAAAATGCCAAGATCTAAGCCTGACTTACAGTTCAGTCCTAGGAATATCTATACAGAAATAATTCTACTGGCTTCAATGGCACTTAGTTTTCTATATGTGGGATTAGAATCACAGTGAATTTGCTCCAATGATAGTGAAAATAACAGTTGTGAAAAGGAGACATCCACAGGATATTGAAGGCTATGATTTTGATTTTCTGAAAGTCCAGTTCTCTCAATTTGGACCAGAAGCAACCTGTGACTGTGTAGAAATTAACAAGAGAAGCTTTTGTTCCACACATTGTTCCATAAATGTTAGGAAGGTTGCTCCATGCCTAGCAATGAGCAACTGTTTAATTTAAGTAAACATTAATATGCCTATAAAAATTCACTCCTGCACATTAAAAAGGTGCACTAATTATCCTTCATGCCAGAATAGTCACCTCAAGAGCATAATGCAAATATCAAAGACATGGTATGCAAATTGCTTAGCACTGCAGAAAACCCTAGAGTGCTATCTCAACAATAACTAATGTACATACTGTTTCACAAGCAATGAGCTAATGAGATCAGCATCCAATTTCAAGAGAGAAGAGAATTTTGACCTTGGCCTTTTAATCATAGACAAGTTTTATTTGTAATTTTCAAATGTCCATTAACGCAAAACCTTGTCCTTTCTATTCATCAAAGTGCCAAGTTACAAACACATCCCATTTTATCATTACAGTTCTGTACAACTAATGCAGTATACAGGATAGCCTTCTGCAGTTTGTTGTACTGATCGGGCAATAATTAACATCAATTAGAATAAGCAATGTGTGTTGCTGTTTTTTAACCAAAGAACAGTTGATGGGAAAAATTAAAGTATATTCCTTATTATCTTTCAACAGAAATAAATTCTACAGATTGTAGTCTGATTGTATTCGCGAAGGCTGATAGTATGATTTCTTTCCAAGCACTGCTGGTCTAAATGAAAAGTGAAAATAAGTATGTTTTCTTAGAACAGAAGTCAGACTGTATCTTCTTTTACTTTTACCCCCACTGAGCCAAACAGATTCCTTTGTGAATGTTTCTTAGAATGAAATTCAAAGCAGCAGCCTCCTGAAGTACCACATAGTTTAAGCCCAATCAGATGCATTTAAGTACCTCTTAACACCACTTCAGATGGCAAGAGACCCCTGCAATTATGTAATTTAAAAAAATGAATCTGAACCATCAAGAGACACACACTGTTCCATTAATGGTACAGCTTAATATAATTGTTCTAGACATTAGGAAGAAGTTCTTGACAGTAAGAGCTGTTCTACCATGGAATACACACTACACAGGGCGGTGGTTGAAATTCACGAAGATGTTTAAATAGAGGTTAGGAAGGCATCTGCCAAGGATGCTTCAGCTGTGGGGTTTCTTGCTTTGTCAATGACCCTTGTGTCCCTTCCAGATCTACAGTTCTGTTATTCCAATCTGTTGTTCTTGATGTATGTGCCTCGTTAATAGAGATGAAGGTGCTCCTGAGCATGTACAAACTGCTCTTTTCTCCTATCATCAATCAGGGCAATTGCAAACTTGTGTCTACAGAGCCTTAAGTTTCCATATTCCACACGCATTCAATGGGTAACCAAGGAGGTAAACTCCGAAAGCTAGCCCCTCAACTCCAGAACAATGAAGGGGATCCCCTCCTTCTTGTCCTCTGCAAAGAAGGACCCCGCCCCCTGCACCTTCGAAGGCATGGCCAAGTCCTTCGGCTCGGTGGGAGAAAGCCCGGCAGAATTCTCCTCCCTTGTCCGTTTATTCTCCCCGCTGTCCCGCTTGTAACGTCCCCGTCCCTCCCGAAAGGTTCCGTCCTCACCTGGTTTCCAAAACTTCAACGGACCGACGGGCGCCGCCATCTTGGGGTGAAAGGTCGAAAGGGAGGGAAGAAGGGCTCTCCGCAGCGCGGCCCGGTGGAATCACATGACGAGGAGGAGGCTCGGGATTGGCCAGCGGTTGTCATGGTTACTTTCCTTCAGGCTTGCTCTCCAACTTCTTCTCCTTGCGGAGCCGAGGACAGGGATGGAGTGCGGTGGAAAAACGCTGCCATTTGGGGGGAGGGGGTTTTAGCAAATTCGTGCCCTGGCTCGCACGTAGAGGAGGAAACAGGATGCTTATTTCCGTTGCAGTAACGTGAACATCTAAATGTAGGTTTGAATTCCCCTTTGTCCGTGCTTACCTACAGGTTGCGTGCACCCTCAAGAGCCCTGTACGGTTTAAAGGCTTGCAAAATTAACAACTCAAGCAAAATGCAAAGAAACAAAACGAAACGAGAGCAAAACCTGTGGTGCCGTAAAGACTACCTTAGATTTTTAACATGAGCTTTCGTCGACACGTCCGCTTCCTCAGCCATATGAAAATAGCGTAATTATTCCAAAACCAATATTTCTCCAAATAGTATGTTCAGTGGGTTTACTTCAAGAAAGTATCCAAAGGATTGTCCCCTTTGGCTATTCACGTACATAGTAAGCCCCATTAAACTCAATAGAACTTCTAGTAAATTTAATTAAGATTAAAATTTAAGATTAGCCTTAAAAATTAAAAGTCCCTGGGCACTTTGGGGGCTAACAAGTTATATTCACATAAGGTTTTTTGGGGGGTGGTTTTTTTGTTTGTTTTTTGGAGCTTCTTCGGGGATAGGAATTGTTTCTGAAGAACTGGGCTGCAGTCTGTAAAAGCTTGGGCAAGATAAAATGGTCTTTAAGGTGTCATAGGAATCTTGCTGATGGTTTATGTCGCTACATACTGTACAATTTACTGAAATGAAAGAAGAAAGGAAGATGGTGCTAAAAGGGCATGTGATAAATACATATCTGGTAAGATCTGAGTTTTACTTCAAGAATGTTTATATGACATATCAGCTTTTGGGGATTCAAGCTATGTGTGGATCTTTGTCACTATTAGACCCTTTGTAAGTTGTCTTGAGTACTTCCACATAGAGAAAAGTGGGGTTGAAATTGGATGGATGGATGGATGGATGGATGGATGAATGTCTCCATGGGCCTAAAGATCCTGAGAGATCTTTCTCTCTGCCCCACCACCCTCAGAAGCATACTTGTTGAAATTGGATGGATGGATGGATTAATGTCTCCTTGGGCCTAAAGATCCTGAGAGATCTTTCTGTCTGCCCCACCACCCTCAGAAGCATACTTGGTGAAGACAAGAAAGAGGGTTTTCTTGGTTGCTGCTTCCAGACTTTGTACTCCCTACAGAAGGAGACTAGTTGTCCTTGATGTCCTTTCCCCAGCAAGTCAAAACATTTTTATTTAAAAAGTCTTTGATCACTGATTAAGATTTGCTAATGGTGAGTGTTGCTTTACTGTTGCTGCTGTTGTTTTTAAATGTAGTAAACTGGTTTTAAACTGTATTAATTATGCATATTAATTATGCAGTTTTATCTGATAATTTATTTAATAATGTTTTAATACTGTGCTTTTGACTTGCACCTGCTTTTAAACATATTTGTAAAAGCAAATTGTGCTATATACTGCCCCACAGGATTTAAAACACTCTCTAGGTGAATTACAATTTAATTATGCAGGCTACACATTGCTCCCTGCCAGCAAGCTGGGTACTCAGTTTACCAACCTCAGAAAGAAAGGGTGGGCTATAAATGAAATAAGCCAGAAGTGGCTGAAGAGCATAGTAGTATGCAACATGCCACCTAGAGTGGTCGTTTTGACCAGATAGGCGGAGTACAAATAGAATAAATAAATAAACATACACAGAAGGGGATACTAGACAGATGCATGCTAAAATAACATAGATATAAAAAAGAATTACTTATTTTACTGCTCAAAAGGGAGAAATAAATTGAATAGGATCATATACTGTATAGTTGTGATATAAGAAGTGCAGCAGCATTCTTGTGTTGCAAAAGGTTAGTTGCTGGTAACTTAGTAACAATTGAGCCTTGCAACACTGATATGTTCATTAAACATTTCTTGTTCATAAAAGAAAGTGAATGCTGTGTTTGATACCAAAACATCAGATTAAGTAAACCAAGCAAGAAGGATGTGTCAACATCTACAAAACTGCCTATCTACTAAATTATCAAGTGTGAGCCTAGTGTCCTGCTATGCCTTGTTTCCCTGAAAATAAGACAAGGTCTTATACAGTATTAATTTTTGCTCCAAAAACACATTAGGGCTTATTTTCAGAGGATTTTTTTTTCATGTACAACAATCTACATTTCTTCAAATACAATCATGTCATCTTCTGGTTGCTGCACAAGTGGAGGGTGGGGTTTCACTTAACTCAGAGACATGCCTTTCAGATGATTTTTTTCTAGATTACTGATTATGTCTTTTATAGTAAATCAGACATGCCTTTCAGATGATTTTTTTCAAGATTACTGATTATGTCTTTTATAGTAAATAGAGTGATTAGAAGGATTATATTATAGTGTTTGTTTAGGGTAGAAAATATACTAAAAATGCACTGGTTGTACCCCTGTTCTGAGCAAGGAGCCGGATGCTCTGTGGTCTGAATTTCCTTAAATCTTGGGGTGTGGCTTCACCCATAAAGTTTTGCTTTAAGCCAAAGGGTTTTTTCTTCTAATATTTTGGGAATCCCCATTTTGCAACATATGTACTGTATTAGCTTGTTATAGCCTCCTACCTCTGAAAGCACAGGGATTTTCAAAGAAGTATCTGGGTATTCTGTTTGGTATGTGCAGCATAACAGAAATCAAAGTGTTTCAGTTAGGACGTAAACACACATTTTCCCTGTCCCTGTTTCAGCAGTAGATTCCAGGTGACACTTGGTCGTACTTAGTAAATGTGTGAAAAATTGTGAGGGTTTCAGATCGATCTTACATGTTCCATATCCAAGCTCAGGACAGCTCTCTTTTCTTCTATCAAGGTTTCAACCACTTGTGAGCTTTGCTAGACCGGCAGAAAATCAGTTATACAGGTTTGTAGCACATGGCTACAGTACTAAAAATGGTGCGCTACTGAATTTCCCAATTGGATGGAAGCCACTAGGGTGAGATGTCAACGCCGTGCAGTGCCATCTATGTTAATTAATAGTTATGAAACTGGAAGGTGCATCAAAATTAATTAAGTCCAATCCACCGCAACAGAAGGAAATCTATTACATTGTGGAAAGCTGTGATAAATATGCATTGGTGCTGCAGTCCTGAGCACATTTATCTGGAAAGAACTCCCACTGAGCTCAGTGGGCTTTACTTCCCAATAAATGTACATAGGATTGCACTGTAAAATGTGGAAATAAAATAAAGTAATAATGAGAATGGATGCTATCAAAGTGGAAGATAGTACTGGAGGAGAAAGAGTGCTGTCTTTGGACAGCCAGAACTGTTTGCATACCATCTACATGCAGGTGTACCTGGTGGCACAATATAGAGACTCTATAGTGGCAGAGCTTTCAAATGTCCGGGAGAGTGGCACTGTAACACTGAAGACACCATGGAGAGGCATGCACACATCTTTATCCTGGCACAAGAAAGTGATGAAAGTTGGCCACCCACAAACAAGAAGTTCTTTCATCACCAGGCCATGCATTTCATTGTTAAGGCTGTGGTGAATTGTGCTCCCATCAATGAAAGCTTCTGAAGTGCACATTATACAGGTATTGGGATTGATGAGCCATGGGGCCAACATGGAGCAACTAAATCTGAGAAACACTGCTGTAAATAAGAATTATTTACTATGTCTGATATCCCCCACCACTGGCAAGTCTCTCAAGTTGGAGATTTCTTCCTTTATCTCCAAGTTTCTCTCAAGTTACTGTGATCTAAATGAACTGAATCTTGCAAGAGAAACAACAAAAAGTATTGTGGCAATAACAGTTTTTATTTGGAGTATATTCTCTCCTGCATTGCAGACCACTTCATCAGATGCAATGAGCATTTCCTGTACAATGGACCCTCGACTTACAAAGGTCCCTACTCATGGAAATTTCGAGGTACAAAAAGCTCCAACCACAAAATTTTAATGCAATGAGCATTTCCTGTACGAGTAGACATTGTCTAGAGGGGCGGGGTAAAAATCGAATAAATAAATAAATAAAATAAATACAATGGACCCTCGACTTACGAAGGTCCCTACTCATGGAAATTTCAAGGTACAAAAAGCTCCAACCACAAAATTTTAGTTCGACTTGCGGCCAGAGCTTTGACCTACGAAATGCAGGGGGAAAGGGCAGGAAATTCAAAGCAGCCCCTGCTGCCCTCTTGTCTCCTGTCCCCACAGGAGGCAGAGGGCACCGGGGACAGGAGACAAGAGGGCAGTGGAGGGCAGCTTTCTAAGCTGTGAAAGCCCAAAGCTGACAGCAGGCGCAGAGTGGCTTTCCACTTCCTGACTTCCAAATCTGCAAGCCGAAAGCCGTTCTGTGCCCGCTGTCAGCTTTCGGGGCTTAGAAAGGTGCACCCACTGGCCTCTTGTCTCCTGTCCCCAGTGCCCTCTGCCTGGGGCTGAATGGATTAAATGGTTTTCAGTGCATTCCTATGGGAAATGGACTCTCGACCTACGGAAATTTTCGACCTGCAGTCACAGTTCCAATACGGATTACTGCAATTCCGTAAATCAAAGGTCCACTGTGCTGGTTATTATACACAGGCATTTCCAAATGAGCAATAATTCACATGGAAACCATTCAGTTATCTTTAACAGCAGGTGGATGGCAACACAGACATCCTAGTAATGAACTGATTTGCATATTAGTAAGCTATTGTTCCTATTCAGGTCAAAGGTGGTAAAGTTAAAATTCTTGTTCAGCCATTTATCTTCAGAATCTCTGAACAGTTGTTACCATGTTTATTGTTCATGCAATCTAGGATGCGAGTGTACAGTAGTGTGTTAAGTCTACTTTTATCACATTTTCTGCCCTGTTTTAATAGCAAGTGGGAGTGGGGATTTGCTGAAGATTGTGGTATTGAGACCAGGCATGAGTTAATTCTTCACCCGCCCTCCTGCACTGGAAAGTGAAAGAAAAACTTGCTGCTTCTTAAACCCATAGACCCCACAGGAAGAAACATTAAAGCAACATTTCCTCCATATAAGCCAAATGGTTGCTTTGGGAATGTAACTGGTGCAGAATAGTGCAGAAAAATAAGGCAGCTGCAGAAGATGAATGTCCCATTCCCAGTACTATGTTGATTTTAAAAGACACTATCATAAATTCTAAGAATGCCTGCATCCTGTCTAGTATAGCATAAATGGTTGTCCACCTGCCAGCCTGGTAGCATGGAAAGTCTCCACTAACTGCACTTGCAAATAAATCAATTTTTCCATTTTGCTAAGCTATTTATAAACCTATTTATAGATCCTATGTACAGTTCTCAATATGCAGCAACTGCTTCATTTGTGGTAGCTGGCAATCACCACATGCAGTATGAATTTCAGAATATAGTTCAACTTACCTGAGAACAATGCTCCTTATCCACAATGTTTTTTAAAGCTTTGCACTTTCAATTGCCAGACAAGGGTAGAAAGCTCAAGGGGCATTAGGCACAAGTACAAAGAAAATAAAAAATGGCAACTTCAACCAACTTTCTGGATCATTTAGCATATAGTCACAAGACTACATTGGCTTTTCCTGTCCCGGTAAAAATGGACTGTAGCAAGAAGGATGTGAAATTTGCTTTAATTACAGTTCACATTCAACCATATGGTAACCAGCTGCAAAATAGGAAAGAAGTTTGTGCAAATTACATTCACTTACAGATGCAGCTTCTAAACTCAATTATTTCTGGAGTTCATGAAGAGAAACCACAGTTATGTAGCTGGCATTGATGTGCTTTTAACTCCTCCTTGTATGGGAATTATAGTAATTTATGGATGATAACACTATCATTGCCTGCTAGACATTATGACTATATAGTATATACCATCTTCAGCACTGAAGCCAATATGTGCTGAATGCTACCATATTCCCCAAATGACACAATGTATAAGACGACATCCCTTTTCTAATGACCCAATGTATAAGACGACATCCCTTTTCTAACCCCAAATTAGAAAATTTGATCCTTGCTTTTCCCTTTCTTTTGCTAAGCCACAGTGTTTAGCAAAAGGAAGAGCAGGGATCAAAAAGCTTGCTTTGACTGCCGCTTCTCCTTGCCTTTTGTGAAGTCACGGGGCTTAGCAAAAAGGAAGGAAAAGCTCCCTTTGGGTAAAGGCTGCATGATCACAGCCCTTTGATCCTGAAGCCCTTTCATGGCTGCTTCAGGATCAAAGGGAGCCTTCCATTCCTTTTTTGCTAAGCCCCGTGGCTTCGCAAAAGGCAAGAAAAAGCAGCTGCCTTCCGAGTATAAAAGGACCCTCAAATTTTTTGTGTAATTATTTAAGGAAAAAGTGTAATTTTATACATGGAAAAATATGGTATGTGATGGATAACATAAGTAGAAGACTGCTATTCAGGCCTATGTCCTGCTTATAGAATCATCTTGTTGCCATTGTGTGGAAACAGAAAGCTGCGCCACCAGGAGTTATTTTTGTCCGATGCAGCACAGCTTTTTTCTCTTCTGAATGCTTCTACTTATGAATCAGGCATGTATTCAGTGAAAATATGGTAACATAAAAGAGACCGATTTATATGCATTGAGTGATCTAGATCAGTGGTTCTTAACCTTTGTTACTCAGGTGTTTTTGAACTGCAACTCCCAGAAACCTCAGCCAGCAGAGCTGGTGGTGAAGGCTTCTGGGAGTTTCATATTCAGTGAAAATATGGTAACATAAAAGTGACTGATTTATATGCATTGAGTGATCTAGATTACATAGCTTTTGACAGTTAACATGTTGTTTAATGGGTGAGCATGTAGACAAGTGGGCATTGTCATTATGACATTCTGATTTGAAACTTGCTTTGATCCAGTTTCTTGTTTAGGAATAAGATAAGCCAGTTCTGAAGAAAGCTACATATAGGATTGAAAAGACTGCATAAGTGACCTTCCTGCTTTGGCTTTATCCTCGGAGTTCCTTCCAGCTCTATAATTCTATTATTCTATGACTTTGAAACACTGTCCCTCAATCCCTAGACAGTGCATAGGCTTTTTGTAGTTTTTTTTCTAAAACTTTGTGTGAGGTTCAGGTATGCTCAGGGTCTTACTTTGTCCTCCCACTATGAAACAGGATATGCAAAGATGCAAACCCCTTCTTCACCTTGTGATAGTTTCAAGACAGAGATGCTACCTGAAATTAAGACAAGAATTCCTCTTCATACGTCCATAGGGGAGCTCTGGCCTAGGGCCACTATACTTCCATTTTGCTTTGCTGCTTAACTGAAAGCAGAGTAAAGTGGTTTATTAATAAATACATTTTTAGCCAAAGTCCTTCAGTTCAGATATAACCATGGTTTGATGCAAATTAGGATTTATGCACTGAAGCTAGCACAAACCAAAAGATACATGCAGAAACCTCTTCTCAAACCATAGTTTATATTATTGTTTCCTCTAAGCTGTCCTTTATGCCACATTTTAACACTATGGAAATAAAGATACAGTGACATTCCTATTAAGACAGTAATCATAACTACTGTAGTAAAAATATTGGCAGTATTCAATAATTTAAAAAATGTTTCTAGAAATGAGCAGATTACATTAGAAACAAAATGTGCCTATTTCAAAGCTGCCAATTTAAATTATTTTGGCTGTATTTCAGAATTTGATTTATTGAATTCTTCCTTATGCAGCATGTTAAAGTTGGATATATATTTCTCAGATTGTTAAGATCTGATTTTCCACCCTTAGAAGTGAAATATAACTGACCTATTTCAAAGAGTTACTGAGAAAATAACTAAAGAACTGTGAACACTTTCTAGATTAAAGCTACAGTACTTATATATACTTATGGTCAATTACGATAACCAGAGAACAGATTTGGATTTCAAAGTATTTTAATACACGTTCCTACAATTGTTTCTTTGGGGCATTGTTTTATTTCCAGAGTTAAATTCATCAACATAATATATACAACTACAACAAACTGACAGTAAAAATACCTAAAGTCAGATGAGAAAAGTGCCCTATCTTTCAATTGTAAGATATGACTGTAATTACTGGGAATGCTATGAGGCACTGGTCTGTTAGCCGCTATGTATTAAAACACCCATTACAGGATCATAACCTTAGTTTAAAAATAAGATTTTAATGTACTTATATGGGAGCGGGAGGAGATAGGCACTTTGGGGTCAAGAACTCAGTATTTTTCTACATTGACAAAAGTTGCCTTGCAGTTCAGGTCCAAAAAAAGCACCAGAAAACAAAATTTTTAAAAGTACACAAGAAAATAACATTCATAAGATACCACAGAATTAATAAAACCCCATGTAGAGGCTGAAACTTTTACAACTGGAACAAGAAAATTTAAGCCACAGGTAGAAACACAGAGCAGTCTTCTATGTGGTAGCTACCATTGTACGACAAGCTATACTGGATTGACATGCAATATTATTTTCCCCATATCCCAGCAAAGCCTGAGAAATTATGCAGCAGGGTGGGAAAACAACATGGAGAACAAGGTTGCTCCCCACTACAGTGCTCTGTGGAACACAAGATGATGACAGTACGTCTGCACCCTCAATGCCATTGGGTTCTTCAACCAAAAACACAGGTTGGAGCTTCATATACAAGCCAGATTAAGACTGCAGGTCATATATTCTCCTCCCATGATTTGCAATGGCACACAATGGCTAGGAGAAGGCAAGCAGTCAATTAAAAAGAGAAAAACACAGTCACATGGCATCTAGTTCATGGGCAAGAGCTCTTCCATTTCCCATTTTTCTTAGAAGCAGTCATTTGATGAATACAGTGCAAAATCCCTGAGGTTTACCAGGCTTGTGCTGATCTGCTGCCTAGGTTTTAGGTTACACCTCATTTGATGACATCCTGTGTAGTTATTGGCAACATTCCGCCTGCCAGATAGCATGGAAACCATGTGGTTAAGCTTAGTCCGGATGACAGAATAGTGGAATTCCCTCTCCTTATTTAGTTTGCGGAAGTACTCTCCTCGGGGGTTGATGGAGTAGTCCATGGATCTCAGGGAAGATAATGAACCAGCAGAGCTTGCCCGAGAGCACTGGGAGGAGAGTGAAGAAAGTGACTGAGCGCTAGAAGATGTAGAGGTAGACTTTCTAGAAACAGGGGATCCTTCTTTGGAAGGCATTCGCTGATCATGAAGCCTCTGATCAGCTCCACTTTGCTCCACAGCTGATTCCACATCCTCTTTCTTGTCCGTCTGTGTTGTGGCAGTCTTGTACAAAACTGCTGTTTGAGTACCCACCATTCTGGAGCGAGATGTGGTCTGGGTGGTCACTGTTGCCACTGAAACACTAGTTTGGGTTGAACAGGTGGACAGTTCAGTTGTGGGCTTCTCTTCCAATGGCTCTGTCTGGGTTGAATGACTGATGGTCTCTTTGCGTGTTCCAAGGAAAACAGGATCATTTCGACAGTCTTCCTCTCCACTGAAGTGCGGCCGTTTAGCACTTATTTTCCCTTCTTGGAGCTCTTTAGCTAGCTGTATTTCTTTTTCAAGCTTTTGGGGACTGCTTGAAAGCCTTGCAAACTCTGCCCTCAATAGGTTACCCACAGTGAAGTCCTTGCAAGGCACTGTTTTGCTACCTATTTGTTCATGGGCACCACTGATTCTGCAGGTGGACGGTACTTTGGAGTCAACAGGCTTTGACTGTGCATAAAGGATTCGAAACTCCAGGTCAAAATGTTCAACCACCTGGCCTGAGAGTAGCAACAAGTTACTGCTGTTAAGTTTCCCATCAGTCCATGTGAAGCTAAAATGAAGGGGGGGGAGGGAAGAGTATTATGCTGAAATCAGAACACAGATAATTACTCAAGTCTCTTGATGTAAATCATTTAGGGAATGGTTTTCTTAAACGCTATACCATCTAAAGCAATGCTTTCAAACTTGGCCCCCCAAGCTTTGTTGGACTATATCTCCCAGAAGCCCCAGACAGTACAGCCAATGGTTAAAGGTTCTGGGAGTTGCAATCTAACAATTATCAAGGCACTCAAGTGTGAGAGCAATTATTATAAATAAATAATTGTAGCTATTTCTTAGATGAGAAGCAAGTAGCAAAATGAACTCCCTAGAAATGTCTAATGAGCCCATGCATGAAGATTTTAAACCATGGCCTCTCAATCTGCAGCCATCATTCTATTCTCTTCAGTGTCAAGACCTGCTAAATCAGAAAGCAGGGAGGAGCAACAATTTTCCTAGCAGCTTCTTTTTCTTTTAAATGCAAATGTGCCAAACACAAACTACAAGGACACAAAGACCAACATTCTGTTAGGGATTTATACCCATGTAACTATAATCGCATAAACTGAAGGGGCAAAAATAAGGGTGCCACTAATTACTGAGTTACCACCCACATTCCTGTTCACATGACAGAATGCATCATTGACACATATGCAGGAATGTGAGTAGCAACTGATTAATTAGTGGCATGTCATTGTCATGATTCACACAATTGTGATTATATCAGTGTAAATCTCCAATGAGACTCCAGGCGATTACCTACAGCTGAGTGCAGCTACCATTTTCAACCTCCCACCATGCCCTTCAAGCAACACTGTGGGAAAGAGCAAGTACAGAAGCAGCCACCTGGCATTGCTAACGTACTGTTGCCGCCTGACCTTGCTAGCAAGTAGGCCTACAACGGGCTAGCATTGGGAAGAGCACCTATTGACAGAAGGAAATCACAAAAAAAGTGTATAGAATCACAGGTCTTGAATAGGTCCATTACTGAGGCATGGGTGTGCTGGCCTGCAAATCCCAAGGCTAAAAACTTACAATTTAGACTATAGAGCAGTGGTCCTCAACGTTGGGCCTCCAGATGTTGTTGAACTACAACTCCCAGAAGCCTTCGCCACCACTTCTGCTGGCCAGGATTTCTGGGAATTGAAGTCCAAGAACATCTGGAGGCCCAAAGTTGGGGACCACTGCTATAGAGCATCCAGTTGTTGTGACATTTGCTAGAGACATCAAGCAACCTTAGTCTCTGGCAAAACAAAAATCTGTAGGACTGAGGTACGAAGCAGATGCTTGCTTCTCTGTTTAACCTGATTTCTCAATAACTACATGTCTCCCACTTTCTGCTGACTTCTTTTCACACACAGAAGCCAATGGAACATGGCAGGAGGATGGAATAATGAGCCCACTTATAGCGTATACAAGTAATTAAACATGCACCTTGCCATATCTAGTTATAAATACAACTCAGGAGATCTGAAGTGAAGAAGAGAAAAGAGCCTCAAGACATTTTGCTTCCCTCCAGGAAAGGGCAAGTTGACAACTCCTACTGATTCCACATACTGAAACTATTTATTTATTTATTGGATTTCTATCCCACCCATCTAGAGTAAAGGTCTACTCCGTACTAACTGTACCGATAGCTGATACTTCTGTGCTAACATTGGGACACTATCCCACACCACATCTGGAACAGCAAGCTAGGCTGGGGGCCACAGTCATATTGTATAGCTCTGTCCTCCAATAGAGAAAACAGTCGAAGAGTTCAGGAGGGACAGGCTTGAGGCCACCAGCATCTGCTGCCTGAAGCAATCAAGTTATTTTTCTTAGTGAGGCAGCTAGCAGTGAAGATGAAAAGTCATCTTCCGCTTTTTCCTCCAAGATAGCTAAGATTTTCCATGTTGGGTTTTCAAAACTTTGCTCATCAGGGAAAGAGATTTTTTTCTACACAGTGTTTATGTCAGGTCCAAGTACATGCTTCAACACTCAGAAAGGTAGTTTAACTGGCTTACTTCTGAGGTCATGGCAGACCTCCCCACAATATCCTAATAGCTCTTTTTGGCATTTCTAGCAAATACAAAAGGCAACAGATGATTTACCTGTAGGAGCCTGTAGTCACTCTTACACCATCCACCAACATGAACTTCTCACGGACACTCCCAATTATCTTGGCTCCCGATCTTGCATAATAAATGTTTCCAGTGATTGATCGAACTCTCATCAGCTGTTTTCAAAATGGCACATATTTTAGACAAAATTATCAAGGCAGTCTCTTCAATCAACTGCATCTATTGGGACAAGATCACATTTGAATCACCTGGGACCTCAGCAGCCTTCCTTTCTACATACAGTGTATTTATTTACAGTAGTGAATTTCATTGTATTGAATATACAGTACTGTGTATATACTTACAATGACAATAAATAAAATAAAAATAAAAAATAAAGATAAAAAATAGTTATAATATGAAGCCTCAGTATTCCAGGGCATTTACAGGCCTAATATCTATGGAATGGGATTTGTTTTTAAAATGGCAATTTCCACAATTTCCAAACTACAAGTCTTGCTGGTTAGAGAATTTTTCAAGTTGTCATCCAATGCCCTTTCTCGGAAATGTAATTTTCTACACTGGGGCCCCTACAAGGCCCCACATAATAGACCACAATGTCTTCTGCAGGTGGATATGCAGAAATCCCAATGAGACCATGCACTCACGCTGTAGATGATACTAAGTCCTTCGTAGAAGGAAACATGCTTCATGTTGGCATAACAGAAATTATTTGCAGAAGTTATTTGCTATGCATGGGAAGACCCACAAATATTTTATTTATTTTACAAAATTTCTATACCACCCGGCTTATGGAAAGGCTACTACTCTGGGCAATTTATATAAAAATGGAAAAATACAAGAATAGGATCCCACCAATCCAACAACAAATAAAGTCAGAACATAAACAGATAAAAAAATCAAGAAACCCTATGGTGACATGCACTACAACGTATAATTATAGGTTATGAATGAACCTCAGGGGAGTATTTTGTTGAAGCGTCTCTATACAGCTCTGCCTTCACCAGTTTCCTGAAAGTTAGATAGCAACAGGGGCGTCATACTTCCAATGGAGGATCATTCCACAGGGACAGGGCCACCACCAAGGAGGCCTGCTTCCTTTTCCTCATGTGCAATTTTCTTCATGTTCAATAGATACAATAGATCCCACTTCTTTTGAAACCAGCAATTTTGTAGAAGTAAAAATGATTCTGTGTTATGACTATTGATTTTTTCATAGTTGCAGTTATATCAATAACTTGATCTCTGGTTAGTCTTCAAACCTGACTACAAAAGTATTTGTCCTCAATGTTTTTCCTAAGCATTTAATATTTAAGGACAGATTAGTTCACCAACTCATCTTGAAGATGTTAATGCTATTAAAATGTAACTTTAAAAATCAAATGGCATAGTCATAATTGGTGAGTACACTGAGGATTTACCCCGTGGGATCCTACAAATTGGGGACAAATGTATTCTTCAATTGAAAATGAAGGTAAGGCTTCATTTTCAGTTGAACATCTCTTTGCAAAAGCTAGAAAAAGATACGAGTCAGAACTTGGCATCACATACATTACTGGTCAGAAGTGGAAAATGCCTAATGCTTTTAAGCTAGTGATGGCGAACCTATGACACATGTGCCACAGCTGGCACGCAGAGCTCTCTCTGCGGGCACACAAGCCATAAGTAGCTGGCACTGGCGGCAGATCCAGAGTGGGGTCTTGAGGCACCTCTGTGCCTGGGATTCCGCCTTCTGCCGCCCCCTCTGGAGTTTGGTGTTTTTTTTTCCCCTTTCCAGTTTGGACACTTGGGCCCAAAAAGGTTTGCCATCCCTGCGTTAAACTATGGGAGATTCTGCAACTATATGTAACTTCAGGAACTGCTGCAGCTTAAGAGTATGAGTTTCTCCTCCCTTTGCTAAACACGTGCAGATAACCCAGGGCCCACCCATTTTTGTCTCAGAAAAAGAGAAGTGTCCCATAACTTACATTCTCTTGTTCAGGAGAGAATTCAAGGTTTTTACACATTGCCATGAAATGAACAAGAAAAGCCTGATCGAGAAGGATATAGACTGGAACCAGCCTCTTTCTGCAGGCTTCCTGGAGGTCACCGAAGATGTCCATGTCTGTGAAGGAGTCCATAACTATAGCAATAACCTGGAAGAACAAAACCAAACCACATCATTGTAAGAACACTTGCAAAAATTTATACAAAATATATTTTTTTTACTTTAAAGGTGGGATGACTGTAGATGATACCACTAAAAAATATCTTCCCATGCCACAATCATCTCCATTTTATAGATTATCATCATCTCCCACATTTAGCCTCTCTTCAATATAACTTATGTGTGAAGACTCATCTGCTATAACATTCAAGTTATCACACTGAATCTGTCCTCAAAATTAACTTCAGCAAGGACTCAAAGGAACTCTGAAATTCGTTTTTGCTGTTCGTTTACTCGTGTCCGACTCTTCATGACCCCATGGACCAGAGCACGCCAGGCCCTCCTATTTTCCACTGCCTCCTTTTTCCACAGCCTACTTACTAGACCAAATGCTCCATTTTAACCGTGCTGTACATATACCTCCAAGATTCTCAATTGTTATAAGCATCCAGAAGGCATACAAAGATCCTAAGTAAATTTCTCCCTTCCCCATTACAGTTCACCTTGCTTCTAGGCCTATTAATCTCAGCTAAGTGTCTGAAGGAATTATTGGGCAGAGTCAGCAATATTTCCACATCATCTCCACTCCCTTCCTCCCAGGCACAGGCTGGGCCAAGAACTTGCTTGGTGCAAATGTTGCTTCGAAGGCCTGTGCTACTCAGAATGACTTCAAAGAGTTCCAAGTTTTAAAACCATCAAGGCTAAAAAGGTACATGTAAGTTCTACTATATTTTCTGTGCACCTCATAAAGATTCCAGCTTGGCACCAGCAATCAATAACAAATTTTAAAAGGGTTTGAACTCGAATTACCACTGCAGAGGAATCTCAGCTATTCCTAGATTCCCAGGAGAAAACAGTCACATCTGCCTAAGGTTTTCCAGCCCTGGATTTGGCTGCTATTTAACATTTTTCTTTTTAAGTTGAAGACCCTCCCTGTAAAAGATGTCTTCACTTAAGGGGCGTCTTCAGCTTCACAATGCTTGCAAGGCTTTGGGCAGGGCACATAGTCATCCCACTTACCCACCTTTTTTAAAAAAAGGCTGTACTTTATTGCCAGAAAAGAATATACCATTGCTTTTTTTCCTGTACAAATATTGCAATAAAACAGGCATTGGCGAAGTGCAGTCCCCAAAGATTATTTTTGCAAAGACTAACCCTTCTACTACAACCCAATTCCCCTGGTCAGCAGTCTTGGACACTCCTAAGAATGTGATTCAAATTTTAAATAAGTCCTAGGGCCTTATTTCGAGTTCCCATTTAACCAAATTTTTTTCAGAATTACTTCCAGTTCCATTTTGTGTTTTGCTCTGTCTCTCTGTGGTGATGCCCCTGGAGGTTCCCAAAGCAGAAAACAGACTCGTGAATCTGCCAAAATTGCAGAACTGTGTAGTGTAGAGTACAGAATTTGTAACTCCCTAATGTTTTTGTACTACACTATAAGCTGTGAACCCTGGTCACGCAAGATGGGAACTGGAATCAAAAACCAACTTGGGGAATGCCCCACTCCAGGAGTAATGTTATTGCTTTATCAAATCCTAACATTTGTGACTTGCAAGTCCCATAGAAAAGCTCATGCTACCTATAACTCAAGATATTGCATATGTACATATGCTTAAACATCCATGCACACCTCAAACCAAGGTTATAGGCAGCCAGACTTTGGCTCTTACTTCCTGCATCACAAGTATTCTGTTGAATACAATACCAGCAGTTTGAGTCTTGTGTTTCAAGACTAAGTTCTAGGCTGCAGCATTATTCCTGTATGCTGAACCTGTACTCCAGAAACTAAGGGCTAAGCCCTTTGTATTTTGTAACTGCCCACAGGCGAGTTCATAGCTTTATTCCCCCTCCTCTCTGAAAGAAGATTAAGGCAGCCATGTCTCCTCCAGCAATTGGTCAGCTACTGACCCCATCATAACACACTACTGCCCGAGATTGCAGGGCTAATGTAAACTTGAATCAGTGAATATCTGGTAGTGGTTTTGAAAGTTGACGTTTGACCAAAACAGTGATGGACCCTGAGCTTATCTGAACTCACATTATGCCTGCTCTGGATTATGCTTTCCACCTTAGATTGAAGCCACAGACTGTTTAAGGTCTGACATTACCAGTTATGGCATCTAGGAAACCACCAATATTTATTACAGTACTTATATTTTTTCAACATCTATAATATTCATAATACAATCAGAGCATATGAAAAGTCATTCATACAATACTGCGTAACAAACATACTGTGTGTCTTTCTAGTCTAGAACCATCATCTCCGGAAAGCAGGTGTCAGCTAGAGGTCCTTCTTACCATCCTTCAGTGACAGAATCTCTAACTGGAGATTTCTAAGACTGAATCTATATACACAAAGCACATAATTGGTCAATAGGTTCTACCTATCAATGGTACAGCTGGACTATTCTAACCATATCTGTTCACAAGCTCTCCTAATCCATGTCCATGGGCTAAGAGGACCACAGCCTTCAGGCCACTAATGCAGGAACCTTCAAACTATCCAAAATTGTCAATTTCTGCATTAAAAAGGGTTAGAGAACCTGAGTTATGAGACAATTTTTTAGGCAATATTTGTCCTGGAATACTGTGTCAAACGAAGCTAGTGATACTTTTGTCAAAATGACTAATAGTCTGGTAGCATCATACAGACATAAGTTTTCATGTCCCCAGAGTCCATTGTGAAATACATGGATAGTTATTTCAGTTGACAGGTATGTATAGACATGCTTGGCTGGATGCAAGGTGTGTAATACCTGAAATGCAAAAGATACAGTGATTATTATCTTAAGAGTTGTAGTTGATGTACAGGAGCTGGGCTAAGAGACGGAGTATTTCACCCCTGAATGAATTCTTGTGGGAAGCCTTATCATTTATCAAAAAATCAGTCTGTGTCTTCCTGTAGCACGTGTATGCAACAATAACACAAAGTTTGTGACAAAAGCTTCTATGTTTCTTTCCTGTGTCTTGTTTGTCTTTCTACTTATTTATCTACCTCTCTATCTACCTACCCACCCATCCCATCCGATCAACTAATAGCAAAAAGTACTACTCTGGGCAGCAAGCAAATGAATAGATGAACAACAAGACATAACAATAACAGAGGCAATATAAAATAGCAAAGGGAAAAGAAAAAGAAAGGAAAAAAAACCAAATTCCAGGACCCAGGTAAGCACCATCCGAAAGGTGCAAAAACCAGAAGAGCCCCATAAACTACAAAAAAAAAATCCATGGTACATGGCCCAAGAGGGGTGCTTAACATTAGTTTGCGGCAAACTACAGACGGCTTGGGGAAATAACCAGATCTCAACTTGCCTCCTAAAACCCAGAAAGTTTGTGACCAGCCAGCCACACCTATTGTGGAAGAGAATTCAAGAGTGAAGTGGCCACCACAGAGAAGGCCCTATTACAGCTGGTAGATTTCTGGGTCTCTCTCAGGGTGGCGATCTGAAGCATCCCAATGTAAGAGGTGCAGGTGGGACAGGTAGATGTTTGGAGGGAGAGGTGCTCAGACAGATAAGGTCTTAAGCCATTAAGGGCTTTAAATACTAGCATAAATCTGAATTAGGCCCAGAAGCAGCCAGTGCAGACAGGCCAGAACAGGAGTTATATAGTCATATTGAGATGTTCCATAAATCATCCTGGCAGCAGTATTCTGTACAAGCTACAGCTTCCAAACTGCCTTCAAGGGCAGTCTCACATAAAGAGTGTTGCAACAGCCTATTTTCAAGATTACAAGTGCCTGGACTGTTGAAATTGGGGCAAAGGTGTGCAATCCGCCTCAGCTGAAGAAACGCGGACTTGGCATAGCCAAGATATTGAGAGGGCTGGATCCAGGAGCACACCAAGATTTTGCATCTAATCCTTTGTGATCCTGCTATGAAATAATTACATATGTGCTGTTAATTTGATTCAGACTTCTGACAGCCCTTTCCAGCGTCTTCTAGCTTTAAAGTATTCAGAAATGGTTTGCCATTTCCTTTTTCTGAGGTGTGCTCTGAACCACACAATTTGCCATAGGCTACACAAGCTGCCTCTTCTCCTACAGTACAGAATCAAACCTTCAACAGTTAGCTACCCAACACCAGCCCTGCTGTAAAAGTGAAAGATTAAAGCATGTTTTTGTATCTGATTTAGCAGAATTTCCAAAACATGGAGGTCCAGAAGTTCTTAGACTTCAAATTCCAGAAACACAATCACTGGCTATGTTAGCAACGGCTCCTGGGAGTGTTAGTCCCCTAGGCCTTACATGTGGGGACCATTGCTCTAAGAGATGTAGTCAAATGGGCTTTTTGCACTATTGTTCTAGATAGAATCGTTATTGTTGTCGACTATTGTGTAGTCTGCACACACAGGGACAAATGCAATTTTGAGTTCAGTGCTAGAGCAAAGCAGACAGCCCAATACAGCCTGAGGACGAACCATGGCCATGACAGCTGTCTTTTTAGATAATAAAAATAACAACAAAAAAAGGATCGGTTGGTTTGCAGTGTATTTTTATAGAGCAATCTCCTTGCACTCTTCACACCTACACTGTGGAGTAATTTGCAGCAGGAAGCAGTCACTTAGTAGGAAAACGACAAGATTACTTGACACGGAGGGGAACCCATGCCAGCTGGCTTGTAATCAGCTGTCATTTTTCATTACAAAATAGTTAGATGTATCAGCTCCTCTGCTGAGCTAAGGAAGATGTGGTATCTTTTTAATTCCTTGATCCTAGGAACCCATCCTGCTGTATCTTTGGGGAACTCAACCAGTCTTACTAAGAGACTTATAAGCATTCTTCAGATTTGACCAATTCCATCTAACATCACTGTACATTTGCTCTATTTGATTTTTTAAGCACCCCAAAACCCAATCTTGTGAGAGTCCTGAGAGGATAAGACTCTCGGGTTAGAACAAGTGGCATGTCTGCCCATTATTTAATCTGATATCAGATTTCTCTTTTGAAGTCTTCTAGCCTACAAAAAAAATGGAAGACAGGTT